ACTCATCGAGATACAAACCCTCTCCGCGTCGGCATTAGAGTGCGAGAGGGAGCACTTACAACAAGTCGACTGCCTATTTTAGCGCGCTCACCAAACAGGCTCAAAACCGCCGTCACCTTTAAAAAAAAAAAAAGGAACCAAGAGCTCTCATTAACTCAAATGCTTTGCTTTTGATTTCAATTGATATGTGTATGTCAATGTGGCTTGCCAAATATTTCTTATCCTTGCACTGATTGAGCGCATACCTCCCCCAACTCCTGCATCCCCCCCCTACATTAAAGGCTTGTTGTTTCTTGATCATTGCGGGCATGGGGATATCCATAAGCTGCATATTCAGCGAACTCCTTCACACGCCTTGTCCTGTTCCTCCGGCCCCATGGAAAGTAGTAGTTCGCTGAAATATAAAAGAGCACCAGTGCTAAAGCAACTGTAATGTATTCAATCAAAGTATTGAATGTGTTTAAATATGAAAACTGTGAAAACCCTTACCTGCGTCTATAAGTATAGGCCATCTTCACCCACACTCAGGCCTCTGCTGCACATCCACAAATCTTGTATGCCCTCAGAAGAGCCCTCCTGTCAGAGGGGGTGGGAGTTTATTGGTCCATACTCACAGCCCTGACCAAGAAATGCAGTGCTGAACCTGTTTGCAATAGCCTGCAACCTCTGAGCGGAGTGATGCTCTCCTAGCCTCAAGGAGGCCTAATTGAGGGCTTAGCTCTGCGTGGTGAAGCAACATTTTTAGTTTTTCCCCACCAGACAGGAGAACAGAAGAGATAGAGAAGCAAATTCTAAGTCCAGACGGTAGTTTCAACAGTATGCATCAGCGTAGAACAGGGATTTTCACTGCAATTATACTCAAAACTAGACAAACAGTCGAGGTCATAGATTCAGTCTAGTCTAGTTTGAGCACTAGTGCCACATAAGTGCAAGTGTGATGCAAGGTATTCCTCTATGCAAGCCATACAATTTTACCCATATAAACTTACCAAGCATGCGTATGCCTACACACATTTATGCTTTTTAACATCCATAACAGGATATCACCAACACTCGCCCAAACAGAAACAATCTTCCCAAAAAGTATATTTTGAGGGTCACATGAGAATAGACAGCCGTGTATCTCCTTATATGAAACCTGTACCTGGCAGTTGGTTAGCTGTGGTCGTTGCTAGGAGCGATGTCATGACTGTCGGCGCCTGTCATGCTACAGCTTCATGAACCTCGCACACAGTTCTGATGAACTTTGTCATCTGCATAATTTGTAGTTATAGAAACACATTCCATGTATTACTGAAAAAGGACATATCAGCCAATTCAGCAGATTACTGTATTGGCCAGCAGGAGATGGGCCTTAACCCTTGCCCATTTTACCTCTCCGTGGAGCTGAAAGATGAAGACCCTTCTCTCTGGAAGAGGAGGCTTCAGTAGGCGTGAACACTGGCCAGCGTCGGCTTTTTGCATAGAAGCAGTAGCGTAGCTTCACCGTAGTAGACTTCAGTTAGAGTGTGAAAGATGCATCCACCAGCCTCTCTAAATCTTGGTGTCTTCTCATCTGTAAATAAAACACAGTCAGTGCTTAAAAGTACACATTAGCTGCGTTTACTGCACCTGTATTACTGCTCAATGCAAACAAACAACATACTTAAGACTTAAAATAGCTGGTAACGTCGCCTCATACTTGTGCAGAATTCGTTTGATGCACCTCTCCAGGCTCTGGTAACCATTGCACTGAAATGTGCAGCAGCATTCCATTACTCTCCTCTCATGCGAATCACAAAATTCTGGACAATATAAGAAGTATCAACAGTGTTACGTTCCTATTGCTGCTAGGGGTGAGTAACATCAAGGAACAACAACGTACCGTAAGAATAGAATCGTCTGCGCCGTTGATATAACCATGATTATTCACTGCGCTTATAAATATAACCGCAGCCCAATCTGGATGTTTGGTTTGGAAAAGGACAAGCAGCAGCCCTGAAACACAACGGGCCACCAGCTGATCAACACAGGAAGAACTTCAAAAGGAAGTTCTATAAGGAAACAAAACCCTCACGTTCACGTGCTAACAAAATAGAATGAGAAATCCTGCACTACACACAGGTGTAGCTGGTCTACAAGCGTGCTAATCTACTGCGTCTAAGCGCTATAGTGGTTATGCTAGGGTTTCATAAACCAAGCAAATTGCTGTAGGAAATCGAGCAGTGCTAACACCTGTCATGGTGTCTAAGCTATCATGTATTGCACAGGAGTAAACTAACATAATAACAAACAGGAGTGCATAAAAAGTCGACCGCTGCGTCTACGCTCGAGCCAACAATCATCATACAAAGCAGCGTTTGCACAATAGCTCAAGCGAGCATCCAGCTTTACTTGCCACTTGGTGCTTCGCGATTCTGCATAATTCTAACAAGGCCATGCTATGGTGATGATACGAAAGGGAGTTTGCTTAGAACAGCATGCTCAAGATAAATATCCCATGGCACACCCAGTAGAAGCTTTCCCTGCGCGGCAGGCTTAGGGGTCGTCGCTGTTGACATTCTGCAGCTCAGACTGAAGCGACAGCTGCTGCCTCTGTAGGGAGGTACTCCATGTCTTGCACTTTGTATGCCGCCTGTCCTCTCGCTGGAGATGCTAGATGGGTTCCCGGAAATAATGTATACACCCCACTTGGGATCGAACATCTCACGGTCTGGTGATGTTGTATGCGGGGATCTTATGGTGAGTTCGTTGCTGCTTAGAGTCCATTATTCACACCTACGGACGTATCGCCAAGCAAGGTAGTGGTCATTAGGGAAGTCCGCGCACGTCGGTATTTATGTGCTAATTTCTCTGCTGTATGCGTGAACTGGCGAATATGGGTTCTGTTTCCATTGCTGATTTTAACTGGGTTATTCCGCTGCTGTCGATTACTGGTACATGCAAATCGTTATCACAGCGCCCTGCATCATCACAGACTCATATATATGGGGATAAATGTATACAACTATTCCCGGTAATTGCAAGACAGCCCCAGGAAGCGCAGGCAGGGAAAAGCTGCCTATACTAGCGCCCGCCTGTACTTACATATAAGGATCAGAAAGCGTTGACTTCCCACTCGAGAGGTATCATAGATCAGGTCAATTAACTCTATAACACAACAGCAATCATAACTGCCAACACAGAAATCACATCCAGTTATACCAATACCAGTCTATGGTACTCAAAGCATCTGCTATGCAACCGACGTTCTCGCTTTTGTGTGTTCGCGATCTGTTAGGTCCTCGCTCAGTCTTGCACGCACTGGGATGCCCGGCCGGCCATAGAGTTGACGCCTGAGTGAGTTTAATAAAGTGCAGCTCCTCATGACAGAGACAGTTGTCTCAAAACACACGTCAATCGTTAATGCTGTCGAGTATGTAAGATGCCCCGCATGTAGAGGATCATAAGACTATCGAGGCATTGTTCCATAGTAGTCGCTGTCCAAACGCGTTCCTGCCCCCGGTGGATAAATACTGCATGCTGGACATGAACGAACTCGGGATCCTCGGAGTCACTCCAAAGTGCTGGAGAGCTTACAACAACGGCGAAGGCGCGTCTCCTATTTCACTTAGGCACTGATGGAGTACTAGAATCCTGCAGCTCCCTCTTTTGAGTAGTTACTGCGAGAAGTAGCCAGTCAAGTGTATGTATCAACTCTCCGCCATCTACACTTGCGAGCTAAACAGCACGGCCCTCCATCCCCACCTCCACTTGCGCTAACATCCACCTCTTAACGTGTCATTACTTGTGGGCCTAGCCGAAGAGTCAAGACGGAGCAGCTAGCACCGCACAGTGCGTCGTTAAAGATGCTGTTTGTATAACTGCCACAGTATTGCACGTTCTCAAGAGACTGAGGTCCATCCGGTTGCCCATTCCTATAAGTCAATGCTATATGCGAAAAGTGGTAAGCACAAGCAATTGGATGCTGTACTTCCGTCTCCTCTCGGTAATGAGATGTGCCGGAGGTTAAGGGCGGTTGCGGAATGGCATGACCTCTCATCCAATCACTCGTCGGATGCCAGCGAGGGCGGACGTCGCAGGACTGCGCCGCTCATGTGTACACACACACACCACACACACACACACACAAACACGGTTTACAGCACTTACAGCCCCAGGAGGCAGCGCTGTAACAAACAGTAAAAATTAAAAAAGATGTCTGCATTTTGTTGGTATAACAGTAGAGACTGGTTGAATCAACAAACCTAGCAAGGTAACCTTTACGGTGGTGCTTCCTTTAAAACAGTACCAGTTAGTATTATTCATCCCGCTTCAATCTATTAAGTATGCATAGAAAAGTGAGCCAGGTGCTGTGACAGATCTAACACCTACTCATTACTAAGTTATGAATCTAAGTGTGTGAATGNAGCACTTGTACTGTCAGATTTGCATAAACGGGATTTGATTGGCTGACGCTTCCACCTCAGCTTCAAAAGTTGAACATTGCTCAACTTTTGAATCCTGGAAATCCTGGAAATCTTCGCTTTGCTTCCCCACAATGCAGTTTGGCGAAAAGCGAGGCAAAGTGACGTCACCCCCATTCCAAGTCAATGGGCAGAGAAGCGTTGGAAGATTTTTTTAAAGCTGCTGTGTGGACGGGCCGTAAGGGACTTAGTTCAATGTCTGCCTCTAAATCGTTTTCAGCAATCTCTCCACTATCATTATCTAATAAAAAGTATAATACAATAAAAAAATTCGCCAAAAATTTAACGAAAAGCCTAATGACAGTCCCGCAATTTCTGTTGATGCCTACAACCATATCAACCAAGTCCAAACATTGAGGACCAAATGAACTATCTAATAACTTTGATCTCACAATTCATGGGAAGTAGCAAACAAGGTAAGGGTAAATAGCTATGGCCTCATTCCAGCAAATGACCTTTTGTTTGTGGTCTGTGCTCTTCATGTTTCCTTTTTTACTGTATTCTGTCCCTTTGTTCTCCATTCTGTTATCTAGCTGATAAAGCCGTGGTACTCACAGTTCCTGTCGAAGGCGTCTCATCTTGGCTTTGGCATCAGCCAGCTCCACAGAGAGGTGCTGCCGGCTCTCGGTCCTCCTCATCCCGGGGGAGTCCCCAGGAGACTGGGTCTGACAGGAAGCCAGAGGGGAGAGCTGCACACAGTCTCTCTCCTGGGTCAACTCCACTATAGTCTGCAGGGAAAGACGAAGGAAAGAATGGGCAGGAGGTGAGATATCTAGACATGAGTACAATTAATAGAATCAGGTAGACAGTTTTATTCCACAGGCCATAAGACTGTTAAACACCTGAACTAAGAACATCCATGACATTCAACTGTTTGTAACTTACAAATTATCCATCACTTGTACATAGACTCTTATGGCACTACTTCTCTTCTATTGTATTTACTTTCACTATTTGATCTGTTTTATTGTGTTGCACTGTTGGAGGAGCCTGTGACCTAAGATTCTCATCGACATAACTACACTGTAGCTATGTACGAATGACAATAAAAGCCTTTAATCTTGAATTTTGAGGTTCAGAAATATATTTGAATATGTATTTAGGGTCATCTGTACAAAGCAAAGCAGTATTACAGTAGCTAAAATTCTGATTCAACAATTGGACTTCATGCAAAGAAGAAAGGATCCATGGATTCACCCAAAGCCCTCGCACCACCCAAAATTAGAACACAACGCATTAGGGCTAAAAGTACATGCACAGTCCCACACACAGACTATTCTGATCTACTGCCCGTGACAGGAAATGGGATTTTAATTGAGAGCGGCTGGACTCCACAGTGATAATCTGGAGGCTATTAGAACCCTTCACACACACACACAAAACACACACACACAGACAAAGATCAGCTATATCAGTTGTGGGCATCTGCACCGTTTCGGTTGGAAACTCATTTAATGACGTAAATACTCCAAGTTAAACACACACACCATCTATGAGACAGTTAACGGTTTCAACCCTTCCTTCCTGAGGCTGGTCTTGTGTGGCAACGGTAAAAAAATGAAAAGTTTCCACATAACCCTGACTAGAAGCGCTGTGACAAACCTCCAAAAACACACAAAGAGAATAATTAAAATACAATGTACCACTTCCCTGGATTCCTGCTTCTTCTATTGTACAGGGTTTTTTTTTTTGCAGTTTGGCTTAAATTATAAAAAGGGATTTCCAACACTGCTTAATAAATCTATATTACCTCCAGCTGTGTGTCCCTCTCGTCCACCAGGCGTTTGAGGTGGAAAGCCAGGTTTCTGGAGAGGCTGTCCAGGTCTTCAGGAGGCATTTCCCCACTTTCCAACCACTGCATGTCCACTACGTTCTCCTGATTATGGGTGACCTAAAATCACAAACATCATATCAACGATAACCATTTCGATTTAGTCCTTGGATATAGAGAAGTTGCATTCATGACACTTTATCAGAATGGTGCATTTTTCTGAATTCTAAGTAAACAAAATCCATGATGAGCATACTGTACATTAGAGTAGAGTGAAATAAGGTGATATTATATCCAAATTATGTCTGAATTGTTTTATAGAAACGAGAAATACCTCTTGGATGTGGGATGCTATGGCAGCTTTGGTGTCAAAGTCCAGAGTCTGGATACACTCGATGTACTCTTCCTTTTTCTCACACTGTAAACAGAAGTAAGTGGGAAGAAGAGAAGAGAGGAATAATTATATTTATCAGATAAAGAGTTATGTGGGTTGGGGGTCAACTGGAGGTTAGTAGATCAACACCACAGACGCTGATCTGATTTATGTTTCCAAGGAGCATTCATCATATTTAGGAAAGCAGTCTTCAAACAAAACTTTATCTCGTGGATCAGACACAGATCACTTTCCTCGGTTGTTGGCAGAAGACAAGATAAGAACAAGACGCTGTACTACAGATGTAAGCCCCTATTTAACGGTGTGTTAATTCCTACTTGGCAACAGGTTCTGCTGAGTTTACTGTGGGAATATAAAGTCAGTGTTACTCACACGAATGCAACTGTCTTTTTGCTAAAACAATAGGGCTGGTGAAAGGTCAATGCCCTTGTTGGAAATACAGTGAGTGAGAGCTGCATGGTGCTTTGTCACGAGACAGGAAAGGTCTGACACATTATGTATTACAAAGCATTAGCAGTACTAAATAGTTTGCGTTCATTCATTTCACCAAAGGGAGCAAAGAAAGGAAGGTAGGATGAACCAAATGAAGACTTGACAGAGCTTTTTAGCAGGTTCAGTTTAAGACATAGGTAGGAAAGATTATGGGGGGAATCGTTAAAGCCCGCATCACACTGTCCCGAAATTGACACCCGATGGACACGCGATAAAAGGAAATGTTCAAATTCGGCTCTGATCGTAACAACATCGGGCCATTCGTGAGGGCTTCTTAAGCCATCGTATATGACCGCCGGTGGAGTTTCTCAGGCTCCGGCACCAACTTCGTGAGCGGCAACTTCGTAGGGCACTCGTGAGGGCATCTTGTCAAATCGTGTCATCTTCGTGTTATCATCGGGGCCATCGGGCATTCGCGCCTCACTCTGATCGGGGCGAATGCCTGATGGCCCCAATGATAACACGATGCTCTCACGATGGCCTTACGAAGGGCAAAATTGACACACGAATTCCACACGAAAATGAACCTTCGCAAGGTCCTTCGGCAATTTTTTGGCATGCCAAAGATTTTGCCACCGCTCACGAAGTTGCTGCCAGAGCCTAAGAAACTCTACCGTTGCAGTTGCATGTCTTAAATGTAATGTAAATGTTGCCTTCGTGTGTGGTTCGTGGCCATCTTCGTGCGAAATTCACAATTCCATATTCGTGTGTCCATCGGGTGTCAATTTCGGGACAGTGTGACGCGGGCTTACCTGAATCAATATTTTGAACAAATAATAACACGCACAAACTGTCTCTATGAGTTTGATTGCCATTGTTATGAACTTGCTCCTTGAAACCGGAATTACATAAACAGATGTGAAGTGTAGGTGAACTGAAACGATCTCTTACCTGGACAGCACACCCTAGTAGCAGCAGCAACAGTTTTTTCACCTCTTCCAGACCTTGTTCTAAAGAAGAAAAAAGCACAAAGATAGAGTATTATGACAAAACCAAACCACTTTTAAGTATGCCTGCAAGGACACCACAGTGACTGTCAAAACCAGACACATTTGCAAGAATGTGATTCAGTCACGTTTTTGTTTTGTCTCTTACATTCTGTTCTACCAACTTCTGTGGTTTAAGAATACGTAACACATCACAGAGGTTGATGACAGAAATCCATTGATAGATTTATTGATAGTGGTAGAAACATTTGCCTGAAGTAAAGATCTGTTGATTGGAGGAAGGTGATAACCGACATTGTTGTATCTGTCAAGCCTTTTTGCAATGAGATTTTACAAAATGCAATGAACTAAAACACTGCATCTTTTTCAGTTACAGCATTACAATTATCTAAGTTTTAGCATATGTATACTAGACATATGGAGTCATTTGTATCTGTCTGCTCTGGCACAAGTTCAAAAATAACTATCCCATGAAAAAACAAGTCAAGATTTAGTATGTAACGGGAGAGGAGACACTTTTGAAAATGTATGCACCTATCCCACACTTACTATACTTGGGCATACCAATTAACTAAATTCTTAGGTAGTTACAGTTTTCCCCTAATAAAAAATACCCTTATCTTGTAACGTTACCACAATGTTTTCCACAGGGTTAAGCGCTGGCACGATGAACTTCCAGTACTCTTCCACATGTCAGGGCATATTGTCAGAAAGGGCTGAAACCCACAAACAGCTGCTAGCAGGCTCAACAGGCCTGAGCTCATCTATGGGATTTGTTGCAGAACAACAGCAAACCAGGTGGTGTGTGTGTGTGTGTGTGTGTGTGTGTGTGTGTGTGTGTGTGTGTGTGTGTGTGTGTGTGTGTGTGTGTGTGTGTGTGTGTGTGTGTGTGTGTGTGTGTGTGATAAGCCAGCTCATCGTGTAGCCCAGGGGGTATTGACTGCTAACACTGTCCGGCTTCAATAGTGATAAATCCAGATTAGTGACAGCGTGTTTTCTGTGAGGGGTGGTCTGTTTGCCTCTCAGTTTAATGGGCCAATCATCACAGCAGGAGCAGCTAAAAGACAGGCACACAGGAAGACAATTTTGATCTATGACTTTACGCTTTGTTCGACTGGAAACCTAATGAATTTACATGAAAATCAAATGGGAGGAACAAAAACTTCTCGCAACTTGCTGGAAAAACAAATCTGATTGTCTGTGTAAAGCATCGATTTAAAAAGTAACACATGGATAACCAACCAGTTCCTTAGGGAATGCTCCTTATTACAAAACAGAGGATATCCATCAATTGTACAGAAGCCTCCCGACAAGCAAATCAATCTCTCATTCCTCTTCAATCAATACAGACACACAAGTCAATGCGTTATTGAGCAATAGGAACCTCCACATGGTCATAATGTGGCAGGTTGAATAATCATACTTTATGGGTGACACCAATATTATACGCATGACAATTAATACTTCATTATAGTTCCCAGCCAGGATTATAAAGGACAAACATTGATAATAAAAAGAGACTTGCAGCGCTGTTCTCTGGACCGATACTCTGTACTTTTGGCCGTAGCCCAATCAGTGACGTGTTTTGCCCTACAGCTGGTGGAAGAGGAGGCCGTCAGCAGCATTTTCACTGTTGATTTACCCACTAAGACTGGCCAACGTTTGGATGATTCAAATAAATATGGACTTACATTTGTTCTGTAATGCAGCCAAGAAAATATGGTGAAGATTGTTTATCTAGGTCACAGGGACACTTTCCAGCAGTTGGGTAGGACATCACAAGAAATGTAATACAAACAAAACTGTCATTATTTACTCTAAAGGTCGGCATGGGTGCTAAAGTGCAGTATTTAAAAAGAGGTAATGGTGTCAATATACTCAAACAGGAGAGCATGTCAGATGGTCGAACAGGATTTGAAACCCCTCCCCTCACACCTTTTGAACGTTGAAGCAGTGTCAACATTTCTGCAACTTTCCATTCCCGACAATAACTATTATGTTGTTGATACACCCTTCTTACACTAAGGGGGCACTATTCAAAAGCACCAAAAGGAAGTCAAGTCATACAATGCTGTGGAAACACAGCTTTAATTAAAATACCGCAGCTGCAAAGTACAGATTGTACCAGGTAACACCCAGAAATAAAAGGCGTTATGGGTATTATGGGAGACTGTGAAAAGCTCAAATGTAGACGTGTTTCTTGCATGCTATCTATCCACTTTGAAAACGGTGCATTCCTGGTACAGTGGAATCAGGAAGATGACACTATTTTTGTGCTTAGTCAGACAATTGGCAATCAGCGCCTGGTGATAAAAGAAGAAATACTTAGCATATAAAGAGAATGTGTGGGCATGAAGGGATGACGGTGGATAAAACTTAATTCTCCCAGCTGCAGGGCTTAACCGTGCACTATTAGAGCAGTAGGGACCTATTCCAGTCAGGGAAGGGATTTAACTCAGCACATCTACTAAAGCGTAGTACGAGAGATACTTATTAAAATAAAGATACATTATTTATAAAGCTAGAGAGGGAGAACAAGGGGGAGAAACGGTAAAGGGAGAGATAATAGAAAAAGAGACAAAAGAGGGAAAGCAGCACAGAGCACAAGCCGCAAACACAAGGAAGGGATATGGAAAAAAATACAGAAAATAGCAAAGATAAAGAATGATGGAGGAAAGAAAACTGTGGAAATAGAAAACCGAAATATCCCTCCAGCAGCAAGACGGCTTTAAGGAGGGCCAGCTCGCTGCTAGCCTCAGATTTCCTACCTCCTACTCTTCCTCCCTTCTTATACACACTTGCATGCACCCATTTATTCTCTGCAACATCCACCCATCCTTCCTTCCATCCTTCCTTCCTTCAACATTGTTACAAATCATTCACGCTTCCCAACTGTTTGGATTTGCTCATGGAGGTTCTTCACCTCCCGCCCTTCCTCCATGCCTTCTCATCCCAGCAGGAAACAAGGGGTCAGACGGACAGTGACTAACCCTTCTTCCTGCAATGCCATTGTGAATCTGTGTGTGAGGATNTGAGTGAATAAGCAGAAAAAAGAACGTGTGGCTGGGCAATCAACTGCTACAAGCCTGTCTGCTGCCGTGATGAATGGAGTCATTCAGGACCCGGTGACTTGCATGTCAGCGGTGAAACTGGTACAAGCAATCTGATATTGCTTTGACAGCGTGCCAGAGTATATTCAGCCCATCTCACTGGAGCAGAGGACAGAGGACAGAGTTGGCTGAACCTTGTTTTCACGTTATTTCAGGGCATTTGTGCTTTATAAGAAAAGATAGAGTGTCAAG